TCGGGGAGTTCCTCATGGTTGCGATTATTACTCCAATAAATCTCATTAACAACTTCATTTCTCCGTTGACATTCCCCAACACAATCATCCAACCCAATAACAACGGGGTCACCAACAAAACTACCAACATCACCAACCTCCCGGCGGCCCTTATAGGCTTGCTCAAAAATTGACCTGATCCACTGTCAGTGTTCACACTGACCTGTACAGTCTCAAACTGGGTCGGATCAAAATGATCCTTGTCAAAAGATGCCGGGCTCTCAGGGCTGGAAGTTCTGGCGGTTGCCAAATGGCTCACATGTGATTCTCCAGGGTCTTCGAGAAGTCCACAGAAGATTGCTTCTTCCGACTCAAGCAGATTCACCTCCTTGGTCTTGTTGACATTGCTGTTGGATCCCTGATTTTTGGGACATTCAGGGTCCTTATGCCAATGGCCAATCTGATGGCACTTGGCACATCGGGACTTCGCCTTTGCTTCGCTCAAAGACATCCTGTAGAAACCTCCTTTGACATAGCCAGTCGTGGACATAGAGCTCTGAGATCTCGGTCCACCTTGGCCTCCACCACGCCATTGGCCATAGCCCCTTGCTAGGTTCTTTGCCTTCTTCGTCCGAAGACTCTGCATGAACGTCTTCTTCTTCTGACTCAACATGGTGCTCAGCACCTCCTTTGCCTCGTGCTCGTCCATGATGTCGTCCTCCTCAGCGGTCTCGGTGTACACGGAGTAGTCGTCTCCATCTTGTCCAGGATGTAGTTCTCGCCAAAGTTCCTCAATGGCCAAGATCTCGTCCTCCTCGAGCTCTTCCTCTTCCGTGCTCAAGTTCATGACTGAGCTGGCTTTCGAAGCTGTCAGTGCCTTGCTCTTGTCGGCACCTACATCTTTTGCAAGAAGTTTCATCTCGTGCTTCCTGCACCAACTCTTCACATCTCGAACCAAGATGGACCCCTGTGTGAAGGCCATCATAGATTTGATCTCGTTGTCGGAGATGTTGAGCGCGTTGATCAGCAAGAAGCCCAGGTACTTCTCCGGCAAGTTGACATGGTGCTCCTGGATCTTCCTGACCGCGTCATCGAACTTGGTGAAGAAGGTCCTGCAACCCTCGTCCTTCTGGCGCCTCAGGTGGTATGTTAACCGAGCTAGCGAAGACAAAAGTTCTTCTTCTCGATCTTCTCCAAACAGCTCCGGAGTATCCATCACCTCCAGCAGCTTGTACCCATTTTTCTCATCTTTCAACCATGACTGGTCCTTGGCATAGTGCTTCAGCGACTGAAAGGGCTGGCCTGACAACTTCTGGAGAATCATCGGGCCTTGGGAGCGAGGCTTCACCCTCGTTGTCGCTAGCCACAACCGTGCCTTTATCAACCAGTCTTGGAACGTAGTTGAAAGGCCGTCCCACTCGGGTGGTGGCTGACCTCCACCAGATCCCCGACCATTCCCTGTCGGGCTCCGATCACCATCACTCGCATCCTCTGGCTCCTGCCGTCGTGACCGTCGTCCTCGATCACCTTCAGAGCCATAGTAACTAGACCGGCGAGCTCGCCGCTGCTGCAGCCACTCGCGAAACTCCTCAGAGTCAAACTCGTCCTCCTGAGCACGAGCTTCACCGGCAGCTCGACCAGGAGGTGCATCATCGTCACCACCACCTTCCCCGTCAAGGGAACCATGTGAAGACGGCAACGTCGCCATCACCTACAACCTACAAGGTCCACAGGAGCTTGGAGCTCCGCCTACCACTGTAAACGAACCCACGGTGCGCGCATCTTTTTGGCGCAATCCCAAGGCCCACATTGAGCCGTCATGTACTGCAGTGGAACACATCCACAAAGGACCTGAAGCCAGGCCAGTCACCACCAATTCACAGATTCATATGGGTTCCCTTGTTGGCTAAAAGATCCCATGTTTGCAGTTTCCACCAGCATTGCTCCAATCAGCCTCAACAGATCTCCGCAACGGGACGGCGCTTCCATTGGGAACGGGACGGCGAGGTGTCGTTGACTGTTTCGAAGGAGAGCCTCTTTTACGAGACCCTTGGCCGCCGCATGTTTGTGAGAGAGACATACTTTGAGGCTCTTTGAGGTCACTTATTTCTTGTGTAAACCGTTCGAGACTTGGGTTTGGTTGTTTGGGCTACTTTTCTAACCAGGAATCGAAGCATAGACGATGTGCTAGAAAAGACATGATAAGGCAGATGATTTTGCCAGGCTTTCGTTGTGTACAAGGTGAGGCCCACCAGATATGAGTTGGCGTTTCACAGCCCATACACTATAGTTAGAGCCATAAACCCACAGTTGTGTTCGCCAACTTAGCTATCGTTGAGGGGCCCGACCTTTGTGATTGTTGGTGGTCTTCCTCCTGTTGACTGTAAGACTGTAAGATACCGTAAGCTTCCTGGTTTCAACTTCAGCCCCGGACTTGAGACCTTGAGACGGGCGAATTTTGGCGATCTTGAGAGGATGTCTGTTGGCTTTGCCCCCGAAACGGAATCAAATGGTTGAATTGCATGGGATGATGCAGTTGAAGTTGCGATCTATGACTGTTTGATTGGTACAAGGGTCCCCCCAGGTCCAAGTTGCTTTCCAACCCCCTTGAACTATTCGCCTCTAAGGTGTCTCAGGATCATAATCTCGCCAGCTGTGTCCCCCGAGTTGTTGATACACAGCAAGAAAAATCAAACAGCGGAAACATATGGCAGTGTGTCAAAACCTGGTACCCCTAGTGAACATCAAAATAGCTGGTAAATGGATGTTCATCCCACTAAAAATGGTATTAATAGGATTTAATAGGTATTGATCCATACCCATATCATCATATTTTGAAATTGTTCATTAGGCGTCAAGCCCCAAACGGCTATTTTGGATGTGTAGAAAAGGATTAGGTCCCTGAGAAGATTCTGGATTCAATTTCTACCTGAGCTTGTTGAGGCATTAGCAAGAGAAAAATACCATGTTAAGACATTCATGTTCCAAAGAATTACATTCAAAATAATCTAGAATTTTACATCCGTGGCCTTCCCAACATTTAAACAACCAACGTTTTTTCCCGTTGCGAGGACGGCGCCGTGCTCGAAGCAATATGGGATTTCCTGGACTACCACCAATGACAGAACCACGATATTTGGCCGCCTGAAGTCTATGAGTGGTTTTGGTGTAGCGGTGAAGGTTCCCAAATGCTCTCAAAAATATGTAGAATACAATGTTGAAGACGCGGAACCGAAACCAGTGAGATCACATTATGAATTTTGCAATGTATGAAAACCTTGCTAAAGGGAAAGGTCACATGGAAAGCAGGCCGGATCAAAACTGCATAGATCTGCACGCTGAAAAAATATGGACAAACTTTCAGCATGCCTGCGCTTGTATAATGTAGTGTTTTATCATATTCATAATGTGAGTTTTTTATGTTACATGTTTTAAAACTATTATATATAGTATCTACTCTGCGTCACGATATTATTCGTATGTAGGTTTATATTGTATGATCCTTGAGCTTCCATATCCCAAGAAAAAGAGGGTTTTGCAAAATATCCCACTTTTCAGAGTGAACACCCAGTTTTCCTTTGGCTGCATCGTCGGCGGCTTTTGACGCTGGGTTGCTGACGGGTTTTTACGGGATATTTAAGCGTTTTTACAGGATATTTACGGGTTTTCGACGGGTTAGCAAAACCAGGTTTTCCTCCAAAAGCATGTTTTCGGTGCCCAAACCTTTTTTGTTCCTGGGTTTTGGCTCGAAAATCTAGTTTTTGTCCCGCAACCCACTTTTTTCCAGGATATATACTATATTAAATGTATTTATCAGCTGGTGAGAATGTGCCAGTACTTTTTCAGCCTTTCATCGTTCCGTAATTGCAAGCTGCGTCTCTTTTTTGTTCGCATCACAAGCACCTCCTATAGGCCTGCTTCTTCCTATAGTCGTTCCCCTTTTTCGGAACTTCGCCCCCGGCGCGTACTTACCCATTTAAGAATGGCTACTTGGAGGGTCTGGTTTAGAATCGGGCGGTCCTGCCCAGGTTCAGCCTTGAACTTTGGCCAGACGCTGCTGTACGACACCAGCGACCTCGCAAACCCCAAGATGGTCGTACCTGGAAGAACTGAGCAGTGCGTCGTTTCATGTGTATGTAAACTGTCAACACATGGAGTGGATATAAGTGATAAATGATGATTGGTTATGATTGTTTCAGGGGATTATACTGCCATCATACCAGTAGTACCGCACAAGGCGGTGGCGGAAGTTTCAAAAAGATGAAGCCTATAGGAGAGGTTGGCTGTTGCAACTCACGGATGGCAGATCGAATCCACTGATGAACCGAAAGGTGGTTGAACTATTCTCTCTTTCTCTCTCTTTCTCTCTTTTTCTCTCTCTTTCTCTGACTATCTACCTACCTACCTACCTACCTATATTTCTTTCTATCTATCTATCTATCTGTCTGTCTGTCTGTCTGTCTAGCTATCCATCTATCCATCTATCCATCTATCCATCTGTCCATCTATCTATCTATCTATCTACCTATCTATCTACCTATCTATCTATCTATCTATCTATTTGCAAGATTAAAAACAAAGCAATTCAGCGAGACGTCCTCAATTTTTGCACTTGACAGCATCAAAAAACGAAACAATTCTGCAAGACTTCCTTATTTTTCGAAGTTGACAACATCAAAAACGACACAATTCTGCGAGACTTCCTTCAAAAATGGAAAGTTGAGTGCAGAGCTGACGGCCTCGTACCAATGCGTTTTGCGATTTTTCCACTCCACCTGTCTAGAGTACTGCGCCTGCCACGAAAAAGTGATGCCAGGTCATACAAAGTGTGGCACCTGTCGCGCAAAATCATCTCAGCAAACCTAAAGATCTGATGCTCCAAAATGCAACCCTTCTCAGGAAATCAGCGCCCTGACCTCCGAACATCTCTGATGAACATGTCTCTTGTACTGCGTCTGGCACGCAAAATTTATCTTTGCAGATCCTCTTCAAATGTCCCACGCCTGCCATCGTTTTTGGAAATGCTACAAAACCCTCACGTTTTGCTCACTTCTGACAAGGTGCACAATCCCTCAAAAAGTGGTCCGAGCATGTGGTGCTTTTAACATTTTGACTTCGAAATGTGCTTCCCGCCACAACAGCGTGCACTTTTTCGACATCTCAACTTCCAAAAGTGGTCCAAACCTGTGTGTTTTGTACATGTTGACTTCGAAATGTGCTTGGCACCACAACGGCGTGCACTTTTTCGACATCTCAACTTCCAAAGGTGGTCCGAACCTGGTGTGTTTTGTACATTTTGACCGAACCTGGTGTGTTTTGTACATATTGACTTCGAAATGTGCTTCGCGCCACAACAGCGTGCACTTTTTCGACATCTCAACTTCTACAAGTCATCCGAAGCTGAGGTGTTTGGTACGTTTTTACTTCCAATGTGCTTCGCGCCACAACGGCGTGCAATTGTTTATCTCTCATCTGGCCAGCTGGCTTCGCACCCGCCGCTTTAGCGAGCCTACTTTTCGACCCTCCGGAGCCACAAGTCGTTTGAAAAACACAGTGTTTCGCGACTTTCCTACCTTTTCGCGCACCTGGATCTTCTTTCTTCTGAGACTTTCTCTTTTTTTGATCTTCTTTCTTCTTCTCTTCTCTTCTCTCCTCTCCTCTTCTCTTCTCTTCTCTTCTCTTCTCTGACTCTTCCCACCTCTGCTTTTCATTTGTCCATATTATTGTCGGAAGTTTGACTTCTAAACTTCCTTCGATAATTATATTGAGGATTACCAGTATTACCGCACAAGGCGGTGGCGGAAGTTTCAAAAATAGGAAACCTATAGGAGGGGTTGGTTGTTGTGAATCCCGGTCGGCAGAGCAAATCCATCAATGGACCGAAAGGTGGTTGGAATGGCGAATTATCCATTTGTCTATCTACCTATCTATCCATCCATCCATCTATCTATCTATCCCTCTTTTGTGTCTACTGATCTATCTGTCTGTCAGCCCATGTTTCTCTCTGTGTTTCCATCCATCTGCTTAGCTCTCTATCTGTCTTTGTAGCCGTCCATCCATCATCCCATTTTTTGTCTATGTATCCATCTGTCTATCCTTCTTTCTATTTCCCTCTTGAGATCTGTCCATTTCCTTGTCTCTTTGTTTGTCTGTCGTCTTGCGGTCTATCCATCTATCTAGCTGTCTATCTACAACCAACAGCAGCATCCGCATCTACACAACAATCACCGTGACATCACCGGTGGCATCCACACTGCCAAGACATGGGCCCCCCAAAACGTTTGCTTACAAATTCCCGCGGCATGTGGAAGTGCAATTGATACCGTCAAAAACAAAGCAAGTCTGCGAGACCTGCTCAATGTCTAAAACTTGACAACATCGTTTACGCAAAAATTCTGCGAGACTTCCCCTATTTTCGAAGTTGACAAGAGCAAAAACGAAACAATTCTGCGAGACTTCCTTATTTTTTCGACGGTGACAACATCAAAAACGACACAATTCTGCAAGACTTCCTTCAATAATGGAAAGTTGAGTGCAAAGCTCACGGCCTCGTACCAATGCGTTTTCCGATTTTTCCATTCCACCTGTCTAAAGTACTGCGCCTGCCAAGAAAAAGTGATGCCAAGTCATACGAAGTGTTGCACCTGTCGCGCAAAATCATCTCAGCAAACCCGAAGATCTGATGCTCCAAAATGCAACTCCTCTCAGGAAATCAGCGCCCTGACCTCAACAGCTCTGATGAACATGTCTCTTGCACTGCGCCTGCCACGCGAAAATTTAGGACATGCTACAAAACCCTCACGTTTTGCTCACTTTTGACAAGGTGCATACTCGACATCGCAACTTCTAAAAGCGCTCCGAAGCTGAGGTGTTTTGTACATTTTGACTTGGAAATGTACGACTTGGAAATGTGCTTCGCGCCACAACGGTGTGCAACTTTTCATCTCTCATCTGACCACATGGCTCCGCACCTGCCGCTTTAGCGAGCCTTCTTTTCGACCCTCCGGAGCCACAAGTCATTTGAAAAACACAGTGTTTCGCGACTTTCCTACCTTTTCGTGCACCTGGATCGTCTTTCTTCTGAGACTTTCTCTTCTCTGATCTTCTCTCTTCTAATCTTTCTCTTCTCTCTGCCTCTGCCCTGCTCTGCTTTTCATCTGTCCATACTGTCGGAAGTTTGACTTCTAAGTTTCCTTCGATCATAATCCATTATGGGATTTCCTATGACCAACCAAGTATAATGAAATGACAAAAGGTCTTTGAACGCTGCTCAAATATGGACAACTGCCATCATGCTGTGGAAGTTGTTATTTTGTTTGAGTTTGATTCACCAAAATTTGGCAAATTCATGTGTCATCAGCCATCGGTCAAAAGTTGGCTGGAATTTCCTCCTTGACCGGCAGATGATCATACCGCCATTCACAACGAATATTACAATGGCAAATATCATGATTTCCAACAATAACAATGGTGAGATGACCATAGCATACCATAACCATCCATAACCATCCATAACCATCCATAACCCATATATACATCAATTTGCACAGCTTTGACTTTGACACATATGACCGTGACATGATTGCAAATTGTCTGCGGGTTAAAGCCTCTGGTTTAGAATGCCCCATAGTGGTTCGTTCTTAGTCGCGAACTCACATGGATATGGGCCCGAATTTAAAGCTCCAGGGACCAATATTTTGTCTTTGTTAGATTGCAACAAACGAACCCATTTTCGGTACTTTGTCCCTTTTAGTATGTGTTTGATTCACACCTTGTGATGATGATCAGTCATCCAATCCGTTGGTACCCTAGCCCTTTCAGTTTCTGGTTTGCAGCCCATACTTCTGATGGTCGCGTAGCTGTGTGATAATCCCTAAAGTTGGTCGATTGGGATCTATGTGAATCATAGAATTCAGCCACAACCATGGGTCAGGGGTACACTTGTGCATCAGTTCTGGGCAAACCCATTCGATTTATGTAGGAAACCCATAGGTTTGACTGCATTCTGCGCGGGGTCCTTAGATTGTTTTCCCTTCAGCCGAGCCTATCCAAATATGGGAATTTGATTGACCCAAAATGATCTACTTTCAAGGCCAACGGCTCTAGATCTTGAACATGACCATAGAAATTTACGTTTTCTCAGGTACTTATGCCATGTTTTGACCCTTCCCACATGATGGTGGAGCAGAGCTGTGGGTAGTTGATTCTGTGATTCCTCAAATCTAAGTTTGTTGTGAGTTTGGTTGGGATGTTGAAACTGAACCCGTGAATTCGGCCTTCAAGAACCACGCTAAAAACTAGTAAAGTACGGTGACAGCACCCTTTCTGAGCAAACTAAACCAGTTTTCTTGTTGAATATATAATTATGCTATTTGTCTATGGCTGATTTAGCTCGCCATTCCTTGCTACATCCCCTTGTCTGTCGGTTCAACCCCCATGTTTCATCCTGCCTCAAGTCACCAAAGTTGCTCATTTTACCAGCCATACCACGTTTGGCATACCCCATCCAATAGATATCCCATTGAAGGCTGCAGAACATTTCACCGACATGAATCCCACGTATCCCATGTATCCCATGAATCCGGAATTCCTTTGGCCTCAGAGTAATCCCATCTCTGGTTCTTTAATATCTGGGTTTTGTCCTCTACTAAACCATGATTTTTTGGGGTGATTCAAATGAACGGAGAACGGATGATCGACTCAGGTGCTTGGCCCTGCTGCTGGTTGCACCCAGGACTATTCCGCGGCGCCCAACGCCAAACCCATCCCGTTCCTTGGCACAGCTGGAAGAGGTGCAGGAGGCATTGTCCAGGCGAGGGTCATAGCGGTTCTCTTGGAATACCCTTTGGTAAACTACCAGAACTATGGAAAATCACAATTTTTCATGGGTAAATCAACTATAAATGGCCATGTTCAATAAAATATTGTGGATGGTTGCGAAATCCTGCACTAGCTGGTGGTTATGAAGGTAACATAAGGTAACTATGAAACACTGCTACTATAATGGGATCATAATGGGACAAACCATCTACCAACTGGTGCAGAAATTCTTCCATCCACGGTATGCATCACTTGTAGTGAAAAATGAGCCATTGTCAAATTTCTTGGGTCGAGTGGTTTTGTCCAGGGGATGGTCTTCAATCCCTTGGGGGGTCATATTTTTAATAGCTATGGGGATGGATTTACATATATTTCCATTGTGGGATGGATGACGATAGCCGCCATATACAATCATATACATACAGTGTGGATCATTGCCTGGAGTACCACCTGGGTGAACGTCTTTTTGTTGAGGATGTTCAGTGTCTAGCTCATGAGTTTAGGTTGATGTTTAGGAACTGATGCTTGGAGCGATTGAAGACATAAAGGTTCCTAAACACTTGACACTTCATAACAAATGTCAGGTGCGGTCTAAGTATGTGGTTTAGCAGTGGCTGTTGCCAGAGTTTTTCTTCAAAATGTGTGTTTCTTGTGGAATTTCCTGGCATCTTGCAGGGTACGAGTACTTGCAGTACGCATACATGTACTGAAGTAACCGTTACAGTAAGGATAGTAAGGCCTTGAAATCCTATCGTTCGCGATTCAACCACCCTGCCTGCATGGGTACTTTGGTTCACCAATTGCCTGATTTGCCGTGAATCCCAGGCAGGTTTGGATTACCAGAAAATCCTTCGTTGAGTTCGATGCTTTCCCATACGGATAGATGCCCATGTCGTTCGGGGATTTCGGAGGAAGCCAAGTTTACTTACAAGAGGGTAATATGAAATTATATCCCCATTCTTGACGGTGAATATCCCATGAACATTCCAAATATTGTTGGTAGTTACTAGTTACAGTTAAAACCCTTTACCAGTTACAGATGGTTACAAATGGCGTTATCATTCCACGAACGGGCTTAAACTTAACTTGCAACTGGTAAAGGACCATAACCATAACTATTTATATAACTATATATACATACGTACGTACATACATACCATACATTTACATTACATTACAGTACATTGCAGTACATAACATTACATACATACGATATATATACATATATACATATATATATACCCTTGTTCCCAGGATGAGTGGTTTGCCAGGGCAAGTTCTAGGTGCCTCGGGACGGCCTCGGCCGCGGGTGTGCTTCAAACTCAATGAACGGTGAAAAGGATACCATCACGGAGTATGGAAATACGGCCACATGCACATACTACCATACGTACATAATGAAATTATATAATTCAATTGGCCTGGGTGACGGCGCAAATTCAAGACCCATGCAGGGGACCATTGTGCTTGCCCATTGTCAAGCTAATGGCTGGCGAGCAAGCTCCCAATTTTTGAAACTAGCTTGAAATTTGCTCGTGAATTCAAAAAAAGTCCCCAATCATTGTGTTTCCCAATTGATGTTTGATGAAATTTAGCATGAAATCTGCTTGAAATCACATATCATTTGTTCACTCGTCAGGTGGCGCCGGGACCATCACTGCGAATCTACATCTCGGAAGTCCAGGGCAACAAATCACGGTCCAGCTGGACTCGGGATCACAGAAGTGCCGCGGTGGCAGTGGCAGATTCGGCTGGGAGATCTGGAAAAAATTGAAAGAAATGGGAGCGTTCTATGGACTTCAACACCCAACTCTGCACAACCACTATTGAAATTGGGATATTAGAAACCTATAGAAATATGATTGGTCGTTTCAGAGATATGATATTCTACTTCAATTGAATGTGAAAGGCGATTGAAACTACTGGAAAGTAAAGATGTAAATCCTGGCTTTGGGTTTGAAGGAACAAGATTTGTGGAGGCTTCGGGGGCGAGAAAGTTACCAAGTTGGGATTTCCAGACTTTCCAGACCCCGGAATGTGCAAATGGTTGGATAAGGTCATCGTATTCCTTGGGGAGATGGACGTCAACCAGAGAGTAACAAACACTGATGAATTACTTGGTGGCGCATCCCGCAAAAAGCAAGTCGGTTAGTGAGTCAAAACCCTAGTTACCCTCTGGTAAACTAACGTAACTATGGAAAATCACAATTTTTAATGGGTAAATCCAGCATGAATGGCCATTTTCAATAGCTTTTTGTATGTTTACCAGAGGGTATGAGTTAGTGGATTAACACGACTTTTCCCAGCAACAAAAGGGATATTCAGCCAGCGGGATGAGCCACCAAATAGGGTGTTCCTCCTGAATAGAGATCATTTTTCTGATCGTCCCTGACCCACATTGATCAACAGCCCCAGGCTGTTTCTGATTCCGGGATTGACTTTATGGCAATCCCCGAAAAATTCAAGACGCTTGACAGCTGGAAATTGTCCTTTGACAATATCATCTACATCACATCCTACTGTTCGGCATCTTTTGTGGACCTTTCTTTAAACTTCATTGTCTATATATATATATTATATATATATGAACATGTTCGTTATGCCTCATTTACATGGATTTTAAAGGGGATTGTCCCCTCCGGCACGGGATGATTCCATGTCGTCATGTCGCTACGAAAAAGGCTCATGGGCATCCATCAGACCTGCCGCAACTTGGGCAATTGCTTCATGGTTCAGCCTGTGGCTCGACTTCTGGAAGCTGTCGTGGGGAACCATGGTGACCTAAAGACCTAACTTGTGAATCCCGGATGATGCTACACTGGTTAATGAATTCTATGAAATCTATGAATTCTATGAATTTGGGGTTCACGAAGGAGTGGGAAGCTGTTCATTACGGAAAGTGACGTAGCGCAATGATCCCAGCCTATAAAGAATCATCAGGGTTGGCAAGCTAACCTGCGCATGCACACCTCAGCCATGATCGGCCCCAGGTTTGGGGGAGACATCCCCAAAATGGTCACATGTTTCAGCTTTGTGAATAGTTATACGTATAATACCCTCTGGTTATTTGACATAGCCATGGAAAGATCCACCATTTTTAAGAACGGTAAACCGGTAAACCATCTATTTCTATGGGCCATCTATACCATGGCTATGTTAAATAACCAGAGGGTATTTATATATATACAGTATATTATACGTATCCTTTCATCCAGATCCTGCAATCACCAAACATGACCAAGTCTGGTGAATAGATTTCATTTAGCCAGGTACATGTTTGATTTGAGTTGTGTTTATTGTCATTTCTCCAGTTATTGTGTTTATTCATTGCTTGGAAGAATGTAGTTTGTAATCCATATGGCATTTCAAAATCCTGTACGCTCGTATGTCAAACTTCGCAAAACAAATACCATGGTAGTTAAGACTGGTGGCCTGGAGGTATGAGGTAAGAGATAGGTTGAATGGAATGTTGAAGTGTTTGATGGAGAAATTAATTATTGATAAATGTTTTTTTTTCTGAAAATCCTCTTTAACTCGTAGTTTATTTCAAGGAAACATTGTGGATTCAAGCCGCAGACAAGAGTCGTGTTGTCGTTCAGAGCGTCCTGGGTCGTCTCAGTCTCGTGGTCTTGAAAAGGAGAGTATTCCATGTTGTATTTCTTGATTTCACCTTTAGTGTGTTCGATCTCACTGATGAATTACTTGGTGGCTCGTCCCACACTTAGTAAGTAGGCTAGTAAAAGCCCTAGTAACAAGTGGATTGACTCTACTTCTCCCACCAGCAAAACCCAGGGATATAACCTACTTAGGGTTCGTGGGATGAGCCACCGAGTATAGGAGACACATGTGCACATTTCAAGTTGTGTTCTGTCTTTACTTGACAGCGCGAACATTGTTTGGCAGATGTGACACCAGTGAAGCAGTGGCATCCATATCATATCTACGGAATGGCCCATGACTGAGCATGCAAAATAAAGGCCGTGTCATTTAGATGATCAAGATCTATATGCAAATATATTAAGATACATCAACATGTGTCAAGATCATATCAGATATGTATGTAAATCGATTTTTATGTTTACATTCAAAAATAATATATATATATATAAGAGGCCCATTTGTTTGGGGATATTTCAATACACTTGCCAGAGCGACTGTCCAGGCGGGTCAGACGACGGTCGACACTCGGCTGAGAGTTGATAAAGATCTACCATACCTGATGCCGACAGGGCCACCCAAGTGGCTTGAAAAGACTTTTTTTGGATATATATATATATATATACACATACACATACATATATATATATATATATATACATATTTATATATATATACATATATTTAACGTATATACATATATTTAACGTATATACATATTTATTTATATGTATACATATATATATAAGAATTCCTGCCAGATGTTCTGACATAATGAGTTTAGATAGCATGTCAAACTATATTTGATATGTCAGAGTTTGTGTCCGGATAAATGTCACAAAAATCATTCCGGAAACACGCGTGTCGGAATAAATGAATACTTGATGATAAATGGCGTAATCTATGTTGCGACAAATGTTAGGGTATGTACATGTGATTATTTGGTCAGGATGTCTTTTCGGTGTTTGGGATCTCGCAGGGGTAGAATACTTGCAGGTGGTGCTCATATCCTCTCGTAGTATCCAAGCAGATTGAGAAGACCTGTTTGAAGACCTGTTTGAGGAATTAGGCAAATCACTCGCACATGTTACCAATGACTATCTTGGAAGATCATCCCACTTGGTAACTGGTTAGTAACTGGGGGTTATTGCCCAGTTTTAGATGGGACAGCCCCACTTGGGGGACTTACACTAACTAGGATTAGTAACCGCTTGCTAAGTGGGATGATCCTCCAAGGAGTATTAAACAAGGGTGTTTGTTTGTCTCCGAACTCAGCAACCCAATACTCAACATGGTGAACGGTGAACGTTTCAGTTTTTTTATGAATTGCAGGCATATAGTAACGTTCATCAGCCTCTGGGCAAAGCTTGGTGTGTGGTAGGGCAACCGTTTGACCGAATATGTCTGCCTAACAAGTTGGAAAAATTACCGTTATTGGATTTTCTTGGGAACAAATGGAGATATGATTCGGAAATATTGCCAAACTGGTTATAGTAATCATTATTGGCAAACATGTTTCCATGAGATACAGTGGTAAAGTATTCAATAGTTACTGAAAATGGTTACCCTACCACTATTAGTGCTTAATATGACCCAAGGGATAGGATCATGGAAATCCAACCATGAACTAATGAGACCCCAGTAGATTTCAAGAATCCGATCCCCTGTTGATATTGAACACCCCATGTATGTTCCTAAAATGGGGGGTACCCCCAAATCATCCAGTCATTAGACCATTTTAGTATTGAAACGCGACGTGTTTTGGGTATCTCTCATTTTAAGAGACCCACTAGTATACATAATGAATGATCACCAGCATAAATGCTAGGCAAATGACCAATACGCATGGGTTAAGAAACCTCCATATACTCAGACTTTAAAATATGTGTAAATCCACTGCAAACAACCATGGTTTCTGGGGGTTCCTTCCCCCAGCGATTGGTTTCGCTTACAGGCTCTGGTGCCAGGCACAGACATTGATCAACCGCAGTGTCAACAGCAGAAGGAGGACATATCCGCAGCATTGCAGTGCCATGGCTGCCATGGCTGCGCAGGGTGGAACTTGGACCGGTAAACTCACAGTTAGCTATGCCCATGGCCTGGAAGTGCATGTAGATTTGATTTGACAAAGAGTCGTGATTTTCCACAACAGATCCGCCAAATCCTATGTGTTTTCATTCTCACATTGTTTGAAATAGACATGCCATTTTTTCGAAATATGTTAAGACGATAAAATGTATGTAAATGTTATAAAATGACTTAGAATGCGGGGAAACCTTCCAGAATTTCAACTGTGGCATGTTTCCCATTTAGTATATAAGAATAAAATAATAAAATATGTTCAAAACTTGGGAGGATCCCAGATTGTTTGTAACAATTTTCTTAACGAAAAGTTTAACAAAATTTTAAGTGGAAAAATGTGTGGCAAAATGTGTGGCAAAATGGATTGCCACATGTTTTTCGCCATCATTGCCATAAACCCATGCTCGTTTATACAGCCCCCATGTCAAATCATGTAGAGAGGCATTGCAGGAAATGAAAAATAAATAAATAAATGTACATGCACGCATACATACATGCATGCATGCATACATACATACATACATGCAAACATACATGCATACAGGCATACATGCATACACGCATGCATCCATGCATCCTTGCATTCATGCATCCATGTATACATGCACACATACATACATGCATACATGCATACATACATGCATACATACATCCATACATGCATACATACATCCATACATGCATACATGCATGCATACATGCATACATACATGCATGCATATGTACATGCATACATGCATACATACATGCATACATACATGCATACATACATGCATGCATACATACATGCATGCATACATACATGCATACATGCATCTACGTATGCATCTACGCATGCATCCATGCATCCACGTGTGCATCCACGCGTGCATCCACGCGTGCATCCATGCACCCATGCATCCATGCATACATCCATACAAGTATGCAGCATACATCCATACATCCATACATGCATACATGCATACATGCATCCATACATGCGTACATGTGTATATGCATACATACATACATACATGCATGCATGCATGCATGCATGCATGCAGACATGCATACATGCATACATGCATACATGCATACAGCATACATGCATACATGCATACATGCATACATGCATATATATATATATATACATGCATACATGCATACATGCATACAATGCATACACGCATGCATCCATGCATCCATGCATCCATGCATTCATGCATCCATGCATCCATGTATACATGCATACATGGCATACATGCATACATACGTACATACGTACATGCAGACATGCACACATGCACACACGCACACACCCACAAACGCACACATGCACACACGCACACATGCACACACGCACACATGCACACATGCACACACGCACGCATGCACACATGCACACATGCACACATGCACACATGCAGGCATGCATACATGCATACATGTATACATGCATACATGCAAACATGCATCCATCCATCCATCCATCCATCCATCCATCCATACATTTACGTACATTACATACATTACAAATTAAATGGCGTTATCATTCCATGAACGGGCTTAAAATTAACTTGCAACTGGTAAAGGACCATAACCACAACTGTATTTATTTATATATATATATATGGTCTCGTGTTCCGTGTTCCTAACCCCCCCCACCCACCCCCCCAATGGTATGGGTCCCCAAGTAGCACCCCCTTCCCTTCTATTTGCAAGCTATTGGCAGCATTTCTGAGGTCCAGCCTCGTATTTGCTAGGTCTTTGCAGCATTTCTGACTACTAGGTACATGCTACCTTTTAGACGACCTACGTAGCACACATACTCCCTCAAAGTACCTACGTGCTACCTATACATAGTCATATATACATGTGCTATGTATCTGCTTCCTATTTACTACCTGTGTGCTCTCACAACACTACATGTGTGTAACATATACCGTACCTACCATACATTCCAATGATACCATACATACCGTACATACCATACGAACTTTGACCGTACATACCATACCTATCATACCTATCATGCATACCACACATACCATACATATGAAACATAATTACCACACCTCCCATACATACAATACCGAACATACATGCCATACATACCATACCTACCTTACACAGCAAACATTCCATACCCACCATAGTAACCATACAGACCATACATACTGTCATATCAAACATACCATACCCAACCGACTTACATACCATACCTACCATCCATACAGTACCACACCCCCACCACACCACAGGGGGGGAGGGGGACAGTACTATGGCTGACCCATGACCATGGCGGGGGGAGGGGGGTTGGAACGCTGGACCATATATACATACGTACGTACGTACATACCATACATTACATTGCATTACATAACACTACATTTCCTTTCATTACGTTACATTTCCTTACATTACCGTACATTACCTTACATTACCTTACATTACTTTACATTACATTGCATTACATCACATACATACATATATACATAAATTATTTTTTCTATGTAAACATACATCTATCTACATACATAAATGCATATACGTATATACATGCAATATATATATATATATATATATTACATGCAAATGTTGACATGCATGTATACAGAAATTGTGATTCAGTAGTCTTTGGTGGGTTGAAACCCCTCCTGCCACGCCCATGCTCGGTGCCAGGGGGAAATGTCAAATGGGATCGCGTTCTGTGTTTTGTGACGCTTGGCACGAGACACTGCTGGCAATAACAAACACAAAATGCGTTTGGGATATGATTTAGGAGTATGATTTGAGGGATGTAAATGTGTTCATACAGTTTTACAAAAAAAACAAACTGTTACTTGGGTGTGCAGTTGGGGGCTTTATATATATGGGTATAGCCTCTGCACATCACCAGGACATAACATTCATGACCTCTACAAACTGGAAAACAACCCCAGGGTGGCTCCTATAATATGTAAATATATATATAGATAATTATATATATACAGTACAAGACTAAGAAAAAATATTGAATGATGTCGAATGTTTGTGACGAAAGAAAGGCATGTCGGCACACCAATTTGATGACCACATCCGCATTTGCAGCGGGGTCATCGAAATGGGATGCCATGGCTGTGCCCGTGCGCTTTGACCCACTATAGAAAGGGTACGCTGTGGCGAATGATGAAGCAATATGTTTCTTAAATTAGAAATAGATGCACAAAAGAAATCACTAGAACTTAGTCTTCCTGTGGGTAAGTCAAAGCTTGCCACAACTCGATTGTTGTTTTATTGGCATGTCTTTTGTGTGTGTGTGTGCGTCACCCGCTCTCACATACTTGATTTTCTGCATGTCATTCCAGTATCTCAAGAAGGGACGGTGTTTTTATCTGGGAAACAATGAGCAGCCAAATTCTGTCTTACAGCAGCAAGTGACAGGCTGTTACTAACAAAGCTCCATGCATTTGACTAAGATGTCACATGGCTGATCCCTGTGATGTAGCTGCATTTTTTGTGGAATAGGATGAAAGTACCCAAAAAAACAATCCATGCCAGAGGTTTTTTCAGTTGTTGAAACACGAGAGCGTATTGAATCACTTCCGGTTGGAATTGCATCTGTGACGAATCAGGACGATTATGCTTGGTTTCCTTGATTACTTTTGAACAACCCCTAGGGCCCTAGGCCCCACATATCCACCAAGTTTTTGATCACCACATGATTGTGGCCTAGGACTGCGGCAGTCGCGAGGACTGCTTCTCAATGATCCTGGAAGCTGCATCGAAGAGTGTTGTGCCCAACCAGGTTTGTGTCTGCGATGCAATTTGGAGTTTTGGGCTGTCCAAAATGAAAGGTGCCGCAATGATACTGTACCTCAAAAATAATCCCGAAAACTCGAAAACGAAGGTTTTTTCCCAAAGAACTGCTGCCAAATTTAACTTTCCACTTCATCTACATAACATCTCCTACTCCCTTGACATCACCTACATCACCTGCATCATCTACATCAACTCCATATATTCCATCAACTTCTTATATATATATACATTCACATACAGCATCTACATGTCGCTCATCATCTATATTATCTACTTCAACTTCATTTACGTCACATACATAATCTGCATCATCTACATCATTTACAGCAACATAATCTACATCATCTACATCATCTACATCATCGACATCATCGACATCATCTACATCATCTACATCAACATCATTTGCACGGCCGAGTATTAGCAAGCAGCTGGCACGTGGGGTTGTATCCTTTAAACATTGTATAGTTCAGATTAGTTCAGGAGTCGGGGACTCAAGATCAACCGGTTATTAATAACAGTTGAACAGTGCGATGATCCAAATTGGGGCTGGTGCTTGATGACCCAGCAAAAATCAGGCCTTGACATCGCTTGACGTTTTTGATGATTTCCAGGTGATGCGTCACTAGCAATCCTCGCATATTTCATCTTTGCTAGCAAAGCATTGGAAACATGGTTCCTGATTCTTGCTCCCGGTTTCACGATCAATTTCTTCTATAGGAGAATTATCACCTGGGGTGGGAATCAAATTTGGGCGCGCTCAGCGTGGTCCTGCAGAGTCCCTTTGGCTCAGGTCGGCCCCTTTGCAATGATGGCCTGGTTGGTGGTTTGGAAAATGAATTTTATGACTTTCCATATACCCTCTGGTAAATTAACATAGCTATGGAAAATCACCATTTTTCATGGGAAAATCCACTATAAATGGCCATGTTCAATAGCTATGTTAGTCATTACCAGAGGGTAGTGGGAATAAGAATCCCAACTGACGAACTCCATCATTTTTCAGAGGGGTAGGTTGAAACCACCAACCAGTGGCATACCGAGAGCAACCAAGGCGCCGTTACACGCAAGATGTGTGGCGACCCCGTGGACTTCCACCCAGAAGCGTCGAGCACCTTTGAGAGACTTCGCTTAAGAAATTCACAGCCCACCTGGGCGAACGTTGGTTCGGTGAAAACGGCATGCTGCAGAAAAATATATATATATATTCTTGTCATTCCCATCTGCCACGTGAGGGTCTCTAGATTTGAACAATACATCACTCCTTCACTTGCAAGTTTGCTCCCAAGCACGCCATTGTAATGTGCCATTCACCTCTACACAGTCACTCTACACAGAACTTCAGATAGAATTTCAGATAAAATGCCAGAAAGATGTCAGAATATATGTTAGGTAGAATGTCTGATAGAATTTTAACAAATGTCATAGAGAATGCCAGTTGGAATGCCAGGTGCAACCAGATAGAATGGCAGATAGAATGCCAAATGGGATGCCAGATAGACTGCATGTCAGATAGACTGTCAGAATACAGGCCCGGGAAAATGTCAGAATATTTGTCAGATAGAATGTCAGATCATATTTGAGGTAAAATGTCAGATGGAATGTCAGAGAATATGTCATATAAAAGGTCAGATAGTATGTCAGAATAAATGTCAGACAAGATGTCAGATAGAATGTCAACAATTTGTGGCAGGATATATGCCATAGCGGGGATTACACGAAGTAAAATAATTATTAGTTGGTTGTTGTGTCAAGCTGATTTTAGTTGTTTATATTTATTTATGTATTTATTTATGTATGTATTTGTTTATTTATATATGTAATTATATGTACTTATCTATTTTGTTGTTTTTGTTGATTGACTTACATTTAATTTAGTGTTGTTGTTTATTTCTAAATAAAATTGTTTTATCTACATATGTACAGTATTTACATTTTTTATTGATGGATTCATATCTTTATTTATTGCTTTATGTGTTCGTGTTTTTTTCCTTTATTTTACTGTGTTTTATTGTGTTGTTTAATTATTTATCCTTTTTGATTCGAGATGAGTTTGTTGAATTGCTTGCATGCCACCAATATCAAGGCAAGAATGCGGATTACCAATCAAGTCAAATTATGTAAAATTGACAACAACCGAACGGTTACGGTTTCTCTTGTGATTTTTTGTGTGGTCCATGCAAGCTTATGCGTCTTTGCCAATTGCCTATTGATATGTTTCACATCCTTGGCAAACATTCATATTGAATGCAACAATTGCCAATGTTGTTTTTGATATTTGTTTTTATCCCCAATAACAATTGCCAATGTTGTTTTTGTGTTTGATATTTTTCATATCCGTCCTTGCGCAATTTACGGCTTGCAGCTGAGTTTTTTTAAAGCTGTGATCCCCATCATTGAGCTACAAGCCTACCAAATGTTACCAAAGTCTCCACCATGGCACATAACCTGACATATCCCATATGCTCCATGTATAGAATGTTTACCTGCATTTGGGTGATTTTTTGGGTATATGTAGGTAAATATTCCATACATGGAGCATCTGGGTATACTATTGCAGTCTATGTGATTGAAACTATTTGATATCTGACATTCTATCTGGTGTATTTGGCATTCTGACATTTTGGGCATTTTATCTGACAGTCTTTCTAAAATTCTATCCGACATTCATTCTATCTGGCATTGCCCTTGACATTCTACCTGATAGTTTTTCTGGTTTTCTATCTGGCACTCCTATGGATCCAGCAATGCAGCCCGGCGGGATGTTAAAATCTGGAGACCCTGACGACCATGACCTGGCAGGTGGGGAACAATATCATCATATATCATGTGGTAATTTATAGCGACCTCACTGCGACCTCACTGGAATCATGATTAATAAGGAAAAACATCCCCAAGTGGCCTTAATAATTTAGCCAGATATATCATGTGGCAATTTAACCTAGCTATTGAAAATGGACCATTTATAGATGATTTACCCATTATACATGGTGATTTTCCATAGTTATGTTAGTATATTGTTGTGTATACCACTTTACTTGGATTTGCTGAAGATGATTTTTTATTTTCTCCATGGGAAATCCACTACTTGGGGAATCAAAAAAGGGAACATTTTTTTTATTTTTTGGTGGTTCCTTAAGCAAATCCATGTATATCATGTGTAACGTGTTTTTTGTTTTGAAACATTTTTTGTGTAAAGATTAATCTACACACCATTCCTTGTGGATATGTCTGGAAATAATTATTCTTGCACGGTATTATAGATATTATAGAAAACCAATGGTTACAAAACATATGTTAGAACAACGCTGTAGTTTTTTTCGTTAGGTTAATTCGTTTTTTTGTCAATGGCAAAACAGGATCTTTACAGCCACGGTACACTCTCTGTGTGTAAATCATCCATCCCTTGTTTCCAACAGAACATGGTTCGAATAGTCACAGATGGGTTCGGCATATTGGGACATTGAGGGGCAGTCGAACTCATCAGTTCTACACAGCCCACAGTCAGACGTTTGGTGTGTACGTTGAAGTGATTTAGGACAATTCACTTCCCACCAGCAGTTTCGCATATACCAAGAGATGATCAATGATTCCCGCACGCATCCTTCTTCACGTGATTTTAAACTCGAGGACTCTATACAGACCAATCTAAACACCTGCAAGTCCTTGAAACCAGTCGGGTTTGTCTGAAAATAGGGTATATTCCCAATGAAATAGCCATTTAATAGGGATAATGATCAGCAAAACCATTGGGTACAATGGGGTACACGACATTTTCAGACACACCCAGTCCTTATTCAAAAGAAAATTCTTGGTTCAATGATGGCACTGGGCCTCCAAGGCCAGCAAATTTCCCGAGTTTTGCATTCGCGAAGCCTCCTGGGAAGCAGCAGGTCACTGTTCAATGTGACAGGCCCCTTGTTCGCCTTGGAAAGGGTAAACGGGCCTCCTGTTTTGCTGCGAATAAAGGGCCTTTATTCCGTGGCACGCGATGACGTTGAATCATCCACTTTCAATGTCGGGGAACCCAATGGACACAATTCGGTCAACAAGGATGAAACTTCATATATTCGTGATATAATTTCAACTATGTAGCATTTGTAGCCATATGCACCTTCCAAGAATATAGGAAAGTTGGGAACCCGGAAATGGTGAAAACATCATCGAAGTAGCATCATGGGCTCATAGGTTTCTGTCCTTTTTGGGTTTGGATGACTTGGAACGCTGGGCAGCCGGTGAATCAAACTCCACAAGGATCAAACACTGTAGGGCCGTTAGTTAATTAGTTTGTATACGGATTATAATTGGGATATAATCATAGTGGTATTTATAACTCAATTACTAGCCAGGTTGCTAATACCATGGCCCATTTAAGTATGAAACATGATCTGGATATATATGTTTGTAATCACAATAAATGACGTGTCGCCCAGTACATGATAGTTACTGCCAGGGTAATTATCAGTTTTGATTGCATTCAATCAATTTATCGACTTTTCTCAGAGTATCCAGAAACTAACGATCCAGAATGCTTTGGTCTAGTAGTAAAACCATGTTCAGTCTATTTCAGTCTCATGTTTGGTTGCCCGCAGTTTTTTTCGGGGTCATCAGATCATCACTTGGATGTGGATCTAGAAATCGGTATCCCACCAGCCTGGCATGATCGAAAGAACACCTCGCACGTGCCCAGTACGTCCCTGCGCACGGCTTCAAATTGTGACCATTGTGTTGATGAGATTCTAATATGTGTTTTTGTTAATGTCCTTTCTTATACACGGATACACATGCAAAATTCTGGGTTAAGTCTCCATGGTCTTTTTTGGCACCGAAAGGGAACTTGACCTGGTGTCCATTCAGACATCACGTCGTTGATGTCGAATCGTCGTTGATGTCGAATCGGCTGCGACATGCTGCAATGAGCAGTTAAGGCCCTTTACCAGTTATAAGTACTTATAACTCCATTTATAGAATGTATAATCCCATTTATAACCAGTTATAACTAATAAATGGCCATAACTGAGGACTCATTTGTGCGATTGAGCTCCGTTGCGATCCGCATCTTCGTCGTGGGTGGCCTTGATGTTGACCGGCTGCCAAGTGGCTGCGACGTTTTGGGCCGGATCAGACTGGCTCTAATTCAATGTTTGAATCAGTTTCAATAGATAGATTTATAGAAGTTTACTGTTTCCAAAAAGACGTCTTCGGTGTCTTTGTGAAAGGAAAGAGGAGTCAATTTGAGGTATTGTTTGTGAATGTGTAGTTTTATGTATAAATACATGCACAGCTTTTTGTGAATCACTGCAGATAATTACTTGATTGGCAATTGCAGGACTTTCTGAGGGACTCATGATCATACCTTTTGCCACTGCCAGCAACTCCTCCTCTGCCATTTGAGGGCCATGAAAATTTATGTATTCTTTTTTTGGAAACAGTCGGTGCAAGCAAAAGGATTATAGCTCTAACATGAGCAAACGTCAGCACGAGTCCATCCATGGATGCATGGGTTCGGCGCAATGATGTGTGTGGGGTCTTGCTGGGATATGTCTGAGCCTCACCTGAATTATTGTTTACATTTGTATTTATATATACACACATAATACTCTATATATACACACATATCCCCCATGCGTACTCCCTTTTAAAAAAAAATCGTGCCCAGAATATAGGAAAGATAGAAGGCTCATATTGATGCAGGCAGATGGTGCATGTTATAAAAAGTCAGCTTTCAGTACACTGAGATGATGAACGATTTCATTTTCTGAGAGATGCTGGCACTTGGAAAGTGGACTTTATAAATGGCCATTCAACTAGCCAAATTTCACGCACGCCAACCACCTGGAGAATGATTTTCATACATTCATACAGACGTACAGACCTACAGAGATAGATAGATAAATAGATAGATATATGTGTGTATATAAATAGAGACAAAGATGCATAGATGCATAGACATGTACAGATAAACATACAAACAGACAGACGGACGGACAGACGGACGGACAGACAGACAGACAGATACTACATATGCCTACATACGCCTACATACGCCTACATACGTGTACATACGCGTACATACACATACATACGTGTACATATGCGTACATTTGCGTACATACGCGTACATATGCGTACATACGCGTACATACGCGTACATACAGGTACAAATGCGTACATACGCATACATACGCGTACATACGCGTACATACGCGCACATACGCGTATATATATATATATATACGTACATACATGCATACGTACATACGTACATATCACACGCATAATGATATACTGACATACAGACTTGAACATATATATGTATATATATATATATATATTTAAAGTACATACATACGTACATACATGCACGCATGCAGACATGCATACTTACATAGATAGATGCATAGAACATAGATGTATAGATACATAGGTTACATAGATACATAGATACGCAGCTACATAGATGCATGCATACCTGGATACATACAAAGATAGATAGAAAGAAAGATAGACAAGTTGATAAATACATATGTGCATACTTACCTACATACAGATGAGATGGGCTTGTTGATTTGGTTGGTACGGTGTTGGAGGCACCAACCACAACAAATCAATCAATCGAATTTCACACCTGTCCTAGGCATAAGACACACAATTTGAGCCACTTAGATTGAATTGAAGTCATGCATTTCCCATTTAGATGATTGATGACACTTGGATTAATTAGCATCAGACTGATGTCATTAGTTTCCATGACGTTTGATATCGTTTGATTTTGAGATTTGGTGTTGCCCCTTTACAAACATGTTCCTATATGATCCTACAATCACGTTGAGAACCTGGTCGTCCATGTGGTTCCGCCCTGTTCATGCAGCTCAGGGCAAGTTTCAATTTGGCGGTGCTGCAAAACTATAATGAGTTTGGAAGCTGCGTGTGGTATGTTTTTTTGGCGAACATGTACTGTAGCAACCAAGCTTTGCTTGGGTTACTTTTCATATCTTATCCCGAATCAGTATCCCCATAGTTTCAATAGTTCCATGCATAGGTTCAGTGGGTCGAAGGGGCCAACAATCCGACAGCTCGGCTTGGTGATTTTCACTGTTAAGTGGACCAAAAGAGTCTTAAGGTCTATCCCACAATCATGTACCCCAAATTTTGATTGTAGTTATATTTATATATATATTTATATCATCGTGAATCATTGTCCCTATAAAATCGTTTGTTTTTCTTGGGCATACCCTTTTCATACACTCCCAAATGTTTGGAGGTGTTTCAATGGTTTGGAATTGTTCGAGGTGTCCACTACGACTAATCAAACACAAGACGGAAGTTGATGTCGTCAGTCTACGTGATGCATCATTAGAGTTCACTATGGGAATCCCTGAACTAACCAACATCGAATGGATTTTCAATTCAGCTGACGCTGCTCACATCAGATGTTTTGGAACTTCAGATTTGGTGCAGTCTACTCACTGGCGCCAGTGTTGTTCCTAGCTGCATATTTCAACCCCAAAAGAATGGACATCAAAACCATGGAGAGTCTCTTTTCAACTCTTAGATTGTGGTGTGTTTTGGGGGCCCAATTGAATCCACGTCCGGTGTGTTTTAAATGTTTGAACCCCATCTATATCAGTGCAAATTTATGCTCCACCCCAGCTTTGTCCAGCTTTGCCATCCATGGTTTTCCTCCACATCTCGCTTTCTTGCAGCCTCAAGAGCTCGTTTTAAACCCTGGGCACCGGCACTGCCGGCAGCCTGACCCTGGCAGATCAACCCTCCAGATACAGTACATCAAGTGGCCAGCAGTAGTTGCAGGTCGGTTTAACACAGCATTTCTATGGCTTTGTTGATTTGTGCCAGGGCCAGGCGCCCAATTCTAGGGACTAAGATGTTGATAAGGTTCCTTTGTTTCAGCGTTCGGGACCTTGGAAGCCTTGGTGCCGGGTGGTGAAGGATGGATCTCAGATCAGCTCTTGTTTTTGTTGAAAAACAAGTCGATCTGAATCCAAAGAAGTCCAAACAGATTGGCAGCTTTTGAGGATGTTATTTTCTGGGGTGGTATGTGTGTCCATGTTATCCGCACTAGCTTCCGTGTCACGGAGGTAAAATTGATGTAGTAATCAGCAGTGAAGGGTTTCTCAAAAAACGCTAGCAGTGAATTCTGTCAACCATACACACCCTTTCCCTTTGTTTGGTGATCATGATCTGATCTCGAACGACCACTATGTTTCAGGGCAGTGAAACCATCCACATTCTCGTTGCTTTCCCAGTCAAGGGCTTTGGCTCAGAATGTTTGACACCTCTCAGCTGGATGGGCTGTGGTGGCACTTCTCATCCCTGCATGCGAACTTTGATGCCTTTTTTAGTTTGAAAAATGGGGATATGTTCTAAGCATCGAAAGATAATCCAGGGTGTCTAGGCTTGGTGATGAGTTGGGGTGGTGAAATGTTGCATGATAAAGCATCATCGGCCCGGAGGAACATCCTCAATCCTCGTTTGATCACCTTTCATGACACATGAATCCCAACCCCATTTTGTACCCCATGTTTGGCACTTGGAGAATCATTTGAAGCTGGTTTGTAACCCTGGTAAGTTCCCGATTTGTGTCGCTATCCCATTTATTCATGGGTGATTGTTGTGGTTATTAGTCGGTGTCTAATTTTATCTCCTGTAACCCATTGCATAGCCATACATCCCCATGTTACGAGTTTATATTAGTTGACATTGATGGTATATCCCATATCCCGATGAAGAAATCCAATATCGCTAATATTATCTAATATTAAACGTCCCTGTGGATCTATTCACGGGGTTCATATTGGGTTTCATATTCGAAGGAATGCCTATCCCAGTATATCCCCATATCCCCATGGAGAATCGGTCCCGAAGATGCGGTAGAGATTGTTAGAGTCCATTGTTGGTGGGGGGTTGCATATTGATGCATATTGGGGGAAAGGGAGTATGATTATAACCATATATACATATAGATATCCTACAGTTAAGGCCCTTTACCAGTTATAAGTACTTATAACTCCATTTATAGAATGTATAATCCCATTTATAACCAGTTATAACTAATAAATGGCCATAACTGTATCAATGGTGGGTGTTATATCCATCCTCCCCTCAGGTCTTGTCATGGCCTGCAATCTCACTGCCTGCACGAATACGGCCAGGGGATCGCAGGCCGAGATCCGAGATCGCTGGCCGTGGTTCGATTCGCTGGTGCCCCCTCTGGTAAATTAACATAGACCCTGGCAGATAGGGCTTGGAAGATTAGTTTCCATTAAAAATTGGTGATTTTCAGGGTCTATGTCAATTTACCAGATGGTAACTCCAATGGCTATTGTTTTTGTTGGGGATATATCTTTTATATCTATAGTTAAAGGAGTTTATAAACTAACAAACATCACTGGGGGGCACCACCTTGCACAGCACATGGAAAGATATGGAGCTTTTCCTTACATGGTGGTATCCCTAAATCATCTGAGACCATCTTCAGGGGCTAATTCAACAAGTTAGCACAGCTTGTGTAGAATACCGTTTAGGAATCATATGTTAAATAAGATCCCTAATGCATATTTCCCTAGAAGAATGGTCATTTGGGGTATGCCAAATTTTCAGACACATCCAAATGAGGGAGTTTTACACAGAAATTCCATATGTGGTTATTCATGTTTTATTTTTGTAGATTTAGCCCCCAACCGCCCAGTGATAGTGATAGCCAGTGATATCATTACCATACGCTTCCAATTTCGAACATCTTGAAACATCTTGAAGCCCTGTTGAAATTCTTTCCAGGCTAGGATCGTGGCCGGATCCCATGTACTGTGGCTTAAAACAAGGCCCCAACTATCTCCCAGTAGTTACTACTTATGGCCCCAAACAGAGGGCAGTTGATGATTGGGAACTTGCCGTTCTGGTCAATCTGCTTGGAGAATTTTTGTCGCAGATCACTATTTCGGATGGTGAATCATGTGCTGTCAGATATCCAGGCGAGCCATGGCCATGTTTGCTGGAAAGATCCATGGATGTTCGGTCGCTTCAAACCTCTTTTTTTCGTTGGAAAAAGCCGGTTGATGGCAGTGCATATCCATCTAGAACTAGTCTGGCCACCGTGCTTACTGAAACAATCCCAATAGACAACCATAGATCCTAACTTGAAGCTGTCCGTAGAACGATTAATTATTTAGAAGCTGCACTCCGCCAGCTTATCCGATCTGGCTG